ATTGTCAGTGTAGAGGTTCTGTTGGCTAGAACCCCTTTTGCCTACTGGCCACCAAGAGATTTGGCTGCTGTACTGTCTTGTACGTTTCTCCTTCATTGAAATATTTAAATATTAATGTGACATATTTTTCTTCCTTTAAACCAGGGATGGTGAACCTCTGGGCTGCCAGTCGGCCAGGGATTCCGTTTCACAGCCGCCCCTGCGCAGCCGCATGACTCGTGCCAGCTTCCACGGAGACTTCAGCCGCGCCACCAGTACGTGCGGCAGAGCAGCGCAGCACAGGGAGCTGCCAGTAATGTGGGATGGGTGCAACTTGCTCTGGAGCCGTGATCTGTAGCCTGCATGCTCCAAGCAGGGGCACGCATATGGGGGATAGTGGCTGTGCCCTGGCTTCACACAGGCTGTCACTGCTGCAAAGCGCCAGGGCAGCCACAATCCCCTGCATGCATGCCCCTGCCTGGAGCATGCCTGCTACAGATCACGGCTCTGACCTGGCTCCAGAGCAAGCTGCCCCCGCCCCACGTTCCTAGCAGCTCTGAAGCAGCCCTCTGGACTGCTCTGCCGCGCGTGCTGCTGGTGCGGCGGAGACTGGTCTCCATGGAGATCAGCACAAGCCATGCAGGCAGGGGGACTGGGAAATGGAGTCCCCAGCCAACCAGATCTGACCTGTGGGCCGGACATCCCCATCCCTGCTTTAATCTCTTGTTGTATCTCTGGTAATTTGGTACTTCAGATGAGACATTTTAGTTCAAATCTAGTGTCTATGCAGTTTTTTTGGCTTCTATCCTTGTGGTATGGAGCTGCCACAGAAGTATGTAATGATGGGGTCAGAACTCACTGCCAGTGAGACTAACGCCTATCTGGTTCACTGCACCTTCTGACTTGGTGAAGGAAGGGTTGCTGTCTGTGTACTCATTGGCTGAGCCTCACAGGAGGCTCTTCCAGTTCTCACTTCTGAAATTCAGGGAGGATTCTTGCTCTTCAGCCCAGAAGCTGAATCTGAGGGAACATCATGCTTCTCTTAATGGCTTCCTTAGCTGAGCTGAGCCATTGAATTTCCTGGCTCTCTTTTCTTACCAGGTATGTGTCTCGTTACCATGTGAAAGACTCTGCGCGACATGTGATTCTGGGAACACAGCAGTTCAAGCCTAATGAGTTTGCCAGTCAGATTAACCTGAGTATAGAGAATGCGTGGGGCATCCTGCGCTGTGTTATTGACATCTGCATGAAACTAGATGAGGGCAAGTACCTCATCCTCAAGGACCCCAACAAGCAAGTGATCCGTATCTACAGTCTGCCTGATGGCACCTTTAGCTCGGATGAGGATGAGGATGATGAAGAGGAGGAGGAGGAAGAGGAAGGTGAGTGTGAATGCTCAGTAGCTGTACTGCCAAGTGGTTTGACCTACAGCTTGGGAGAAAGATGATCATATAGCAATATGAAATAAGAATCTTCATGCTGTGTATTACAGCAAAGGGAGGTGTGATGGAGCATGCAGTCTCTGAGGGCCTTCCAGTCAGTGCTAGAAGATGTGTAAACATGCTAATGATATCCAGAGGATGCTAAATTAAAAGAACAGTGAAAGATAGAAGTGGGACCTGGGGATACATAAAAACATGAGCACTGAAAAACAGGATGAGGTGCAACCTGGGAATTAGAGTGGGGGACAGAACCTAAACATGGGAACTAGCTGGGAGGATGAGTTTGGAAAAGAATGCACAGCTTGTTAATACTGAATCATAGGATGCTGTAATCATTGAGTTGGTGCAAGTGGCAGGTACCCAGCAGTAATAAGAATTGAGCCATTTTCTCCCTACACTTGTGGATCAAAGGGAAGAAATGCAAAGCAAGATTGAAAACACAAATGAAGGACTGGAGCGATTTGGGGCAACTTCAGAGGAATATGGTTTATAGGACCACTAGCACTATAGGCTAGATGTTTCTGCAGAAGTATCAGGTGTAGATGAACTATCTGATCTAATTGCTGGTCCTTGGCACATGCTCTTTAACAGATTCTCTCCCCACTGTTAGAAGCAGCTTGACTTGAACCTCATATTACTAGTATGGTGACATCTTAATGTCGCAGACTATATGTAAATTTGGGCAGGCCTCAGTGCATTTGGTTCATAATTTGAAGGGTTGATGCATAACTGTTACAGCTAGAGATTTTTTTTTTAACCCACATTTCTAGGTTCTCAGACAAATCATGCAGCTGCTTGAAAGTTTGGAAGTATGTAGCAATTTATACAGCCTTTTAACTTTATAGTTCATGGGATCTACTAATGAACAGACTTGTACAGAGTGAGAATGCTAGGCAAGATGTGACCTCAATATGTCATCTTTAAACTACTGTGATTTTTTTTTTCACGGTAGTTTTTTTCGCTGTGTTGTTCCACTATACTGTCTTTTTCTCTTTCAGAGGAAGAGAGCTAAACCCCATGGTCAGATAACAGGGGCTGCAATAACCCAGACAAGTCATCCCACTTTTCCGCAGTTCACAGGTGGATCTTGTTGAATGATTGCACCATGCCCATTTAGAAGCCTGTCTAACAAATGGAATAAAGTTATTTTGTTCTGTTACGTTCGTGTCTTGGGATAAAGTGTGTTCTGTGCTAACAAACCTGTCAGGTAGACATAACTTGATAGATGTAACTTGGCATGAAAGCAACCACTGAAAAACAGGAAGAGAGATGGTAGCAAAGCAGATTATTTTACATAAAGTGTGCTGTTGGTTTTCCGTATTGCCCTACATGGTAGAAAGGGATATGTATTCTCTATTGCAGTAAAGGAAATGAGTTGAGCAATCTTTTTGTCTCTTTCCATGAAGCAGTAAGTGGTATTAACAAAAGAGGTTGGTTGCCTCTGAAGTCTGCTTTAACTACTGCCTTTTTATGATTGAGTGTGCTGTTCTGGAGTTAGTGCAAGTGTTAACACCAATGATAGTGCTGCTTGTTTTGCATACCAAAGCTTGGGGCTTCTTCCATGGAGGAGTTCCCAATCAATCAACCAAACGCTCATGCCGCAGTTCTGCAGAGGTGGGTGGTTCTCTCCCAACCGCTGCATGCTGCTTACTAATGGCCTTGGCATGCTGAGCTGGCAGGATGTGGATACTGCAGAGGTCTTTCTCTAATCTTATCCCACCAGCCACCCTGTGGCCTCCTTGGTGGGGCTTCTGCAGAGAAAACAGTATACTGATCCTCAGGCCAGCAGTGAAGAAAACTAGGTAACTAGGCTGTCTGTACACTGCTACGGGGAGACAGTTGGCCATGTTAGTCAAGTAGAAGGCAGGGTAGACTTACATATTATAGACTGGGGACCCAGCCAACAGGCTGGATCTGGCCTGCAGAACCACCTAATCCAGCCTGTGGGTCTCTCCAGAGGGATTGCTCCCTTGCCACTCAATTTCCAAGCCCCACATAGCTGGATCAGCCCCACACAGAAGGATCAAGCCCTATTCCTGCATTCTGAATTGAACTGGGGCCCAGTGCAGCCATGCAGAAACAGCCTGGGCAGGACCTGATGCAGCTACCTGGAATCAGCCCAAATTGGGCTATTCCCACAAAACTGGATCCCCCTAGGCTCTGGATTGGGGACTGCTCATCCAGCCCATGGACCAATGACACCGTGCACCTCTGCTATAAGCACACCAAAGGAGAGAGAGGTGTTAGCACAGGCTTTAGTGGGCTTGAAGCTCCCTGCATCTGAGCATCACTTCAGCTTGTTCTCTCTATTTGTGGGGAGGGATGTACAGATGCACACTATATAGAGAGATACCATACACAGATTTTATATATAAAGTTATATAATAGTTTTATTTCTATAATGCATAGAAACTATATATACTCATGAATATAATGAATATGATAACATAAATTAGATGGATGTCCTCCATACCTGCACCTCCCTTGACTAGTCTCTAAGGTGCATATAATATAAATAGTTGTATTTCTATTACATTTAGCACACAGAAACAATATATGACCATGAATAATGCAGTCAATAAAATATGGCAGTGGCCTATACATGACGCTGATGCCCTCCATAGCTGCATCTCGCCGGGTTGGCCTCTAACGTGCAGCTCTCCCCCAGGCCACCCCAGCTCGGTGCACCTAGAAGCGCTGGAACCCCGCGCCTGCCCCACCCCCCGTACACGGCTGTGCGCTTGCGCAGCTCGGGCCCCGCCACGCAGCTTCACCCCCAGCACGTGGTCCGGCGCGCGACCACCGCCCGGGAAGAGGCGCTGCCTGGCGCCAGTGTCACGTGACTCGGGGGGGGGGG